CGGAAATGGACCCGCCACATCGATTGCAATTCTCTCAAATGGGCTGCCCACATTGTACTGTCGCATTGGGGCTTTTGGGCGCTTCTGGGGTCCATTGCTTGCCGCGCAAACGGCGCACTTCTTGCACCATTCCTTCACATCTCGTTGGCTGTTGACCCAATAAAACCGTTCCCTAAGTCTTCCGAGCGTCCTGGTCACCCCAAGATGTCCTCCAGTAGTTCCATCATGGATTTCCTGCAGCACTTCTGGTATCCTGTTTCTGGGGATTATTATCTGCTTCCGGTCTTCCCCCCCTTCTGGCATCTCCAGAACGCGCTTTAGAAGCCCGTCACTTAAGATAATGGAATTCCATTGGGCCCAGTACGATTTCACATTCGGCGAATATTGGGCGACTTCCTGCCACGTTGGTTTACGGTCGTTCTTCTTCCAATCGATGATAAGCTTCAAATCCGGATCCCTTTCCTGGTCTTGTTGAACCTCAGCGGATTGCCAATGATCATCCACGATTGTAGTTCTGCGAACAAACACATCCTTTTCTTCGGCCCTGAGACAATGTTTACAGTCTTCCGGGCACGGTCTTCTTGACAAGGCGTCAGCATTTCTATGGATGGTCCCAGCCCGATGTTCTGTGTCAAAGTCGAACTCCTGTAGTCTCTTAATCCATCTTGCTACCTGTCCTTCAGGATTCTTGAATTGCAAAAGCCATTTTAGGGCAGCATGATCCGTTCTTAGCAAGAATTTTCTTCCATACAGGTACTTGTAAAAGTGTTCGACTGCCTTTACCACTGCCAACAGCTCGCGTCGAGTAACACAGTAATTTCGCTCTGGTTTCGATAGAGTTTTACTGAAGTATCCAATAACTTTCTCTTTTCCTTCTTGAATCTGCGACAAAACAGCTCCCAGGCCCACATTGCTGGCGTCCGTGTCCAAAATAAATTCACCATCCGGAAGTGGATAACTCAGGACTGGTGAGCTGGTCAACGCGTTTTTCAGGTTCTTAAAGGCTTCCTGGCATTCGTCGTCCCATTGGAATCGTCTTTCTCCCTCCGTTAAACGTGTCAAAGGCTTAGCAACCTTTGCGAATCCTGGTACGTACCGACGGTAGTAGGTGCATAATCCAAGAAAGCTTCTTAAGTCATGTTTGTTTTTCGGTACTGGCCATTCTCGCACCGTCTTCACCTTCTGTTTGTCCACTGCCACTCCTTGACTCGAAACAACATGGCCCAAATACTGCACTTCCCTCTGGAACAAGTGACATTTCTTCGGGCTTAGCTTCAGGCCGGAACTTCTTAAGCGCTGAAAGACTTCCTTCAGGTTCTTCATATGGTCCTCAAATGATTTCCCAACCACAATGATGTCGTCAAGATGCACCAAGCATGTCTTCCAGGATAGTCCCTTCAAAACCATTTCCATGAGCCTTTCAAAAGTTGCAGGGGCATTACATAGTCCAAACGGCATGACAGTAAACTGCCACAGTCCAGCACCCACGGTAAACGCCGTCTTTTCTCTATCTTCTGGTGCCATTTTAACTTGCCAATAACCGCTCTTTAAATCCAAAGTTGAAAATATCTGCGATCCAGCCAATGTGTCCAGGGTGTCATCGATCCTAGGTAGAGGGTAGCTGTCTTTCTTCGTCACGTTGTTCAGCTGACGAAAATCGACGCAAAATCGAGTTGATCCATCCTTTTTCTTAACTAACACCACTGGGGAAGACCATGGGCTGTTAGATGGTTCGATCACCCCTTCCTTCTCCATTTCTTGCACTATTTTATCAGCTTCCTCTCGCTTAGCAAGAGGTAGCCTTCTTGCCGACTGTCGAATGGGCTGCGCATCACCGGTGTTAATTTTATGCTGGACAATTCTTGTCCTACCCTTCTTTCCTTGTCCGTCGTCAAAGACATCCTGATAATTGTGAATCAGCTCTTTCAGTTTTATCCTTTCATTGGGTTTCAAATCCTTTGAAGAAGTCGACAGAAGATTCGTCAATTCATTGCTAACTTTCTTGGCCGGAACTCCTGACTCACGAATGCCTCTAATAATCGAGGAAACTGAAGAACAGTTTCCCAAAACGATTCCTTTCTTCAAGTTCACAGAGTAACCATTAACATTCAATACTCTAACAGGAACTTCTTTTCCAACACGTATTAAAGTCTTCCCTACTACAATTCCTCGACCGACCTCTTTGTCATCAATTCTCGGCTCCAGAAGCATTATACTTCCATCTTCCGATTTACAATCCAAGAAAGCCTTCAATATCATCTCGCTGTGTTCCGGTATCAAAGCATCTTCTGTTAGCATTACACGAATATTCTTCTCTTTAGATCGATGCAACACGACTTCCTCTCCATTTACCCTCAATATTCCTTGCTTAAAGTCCAGTTCAAATCCTATAGAGTTCATAATGTCCATGCCTACAATAACTTCATCTTCAATATCTGCAACTAATGCTCGATGTTTAAATTTCGTGTTTCCTATGACCATCGTGATGTCCACTTCTCCACGAACAGTAGCGGTTTCTCCTGTTGCAGTACGTAGTCGCCGATTGGTAGGTTTGATCTTGGACATTTCGACAATATCTGGCCTAATAATTGTCTTCGTCGCACCTGTATCCAGCAGCAGCACATGTAATTTTCCATTAATTAAACCATCCACAAAAACACTGCTGGACTGGTGTAGAAGAGATGCAACACGTTCGATATTCTCTGGGGCATGCTGGTTACAGGTCGACGGTAGCCCCTTTTCCTCGACCCTATCTAGTTTTCCGACTGAGATGAAGTCGGCACCTCCTGGCTTTTTCTGCAATGACTTTCCTTATTCTAGGCTGGCTCCTACAGCTCTGCTTTGCCGCCTCGAATTCCAAAGCATCAACCAGTTGGCTCGGACGAGCCAGTGTTAGAGCCTGCCTTGTTTCATTGTCTCGAAGTCCATCCAAAAAGGCTTGAACCGCTAATCGTTTCATAACGGTCGTTGGAGTAGCTGGATATGCTAGCCGGACCAAGCGTGCAATGTCAGCCTCGAATTCTTGTAAAGTCTCGTTTGATTTCTGGCAGCGGTTCTTAAGTTGGGAATGGTAGACATGTTCCAGATGTGTCTGGCCATATCGAAGTTCTAGATGTTTCACCAACGCTTCGTAATCTTCTTGTTCGTTGGGAGAAAGTGTCTGCAAGATGTCGGTTGCATCTCCGCGTAAAGCCAGAGTCAATGCTGTAGCTTTTTCTTCTGGCAGCCAGCCATTTGCTTTTGCTGCTGCCTCAAACTGACGGATGTAGTTGGTCCAAGAAGTTTTTCCATTGAACTGAGGTGGATTCATTCGAAATCGGCTCCCCTCCGGCATTGTTCCTGGTTCCGCCAGCATCATGGGTAGATTTACAGCTGTCAGTTTACTATTTATTTCTTTAATTTTGACTTCCAATTTATCATCCAATTCCATCCTTACGTCATTCAATTCCATCCTTACGTCGTTAAATTTCTGCCCCATTTTCTCTTCCAATTCTTGGACATTATCTAGAATCTTCTTTTCCAAATATTCTTTTAAATTTTTAGAATTTTCCAGAATTTTCTGCTGCAAATCATCCTTTAAATTGTTGGAATTTTCCACCATTTTCTGTTGCAAATCGACTTTTAAATCGCTAGAATTTTCTACCATTTTCTGTTGCAAATCATCCTTTAAATCGTTGACATTTTCCAGAATCTTTTGTTGTAAATCGACTTTCAGTTCTTTAGAATTTTCTAGCATTTTCTGTTGTAAGTCGTTAGAATTTTCCAGAATGTTCTGTTTTAAATCACCTTTCAAATTGTTAGAATTCTCCAACATTTTTTCGTTTAAATTTTTTAACATTAAATGCATATCACACGGGCCTTCAAATAAATACGTATCTGGATTTTCACCTTCTTGTTCCAATGCTTCTCGAAGCCGCTGCTGCAACACATTCTTTTTTCCAGTTGTTTCACATTCTCTTTCTTCTAGCTCTCGCTTAAGGTCCGACACTTTTAAGTCCATTAACGAAACCATTTTCGCGAACTTTCACACTAACCGCACTCCTGACACCAATTGTAACGTTTTTAACTGTTCGTAGTGTGAATAAAAACACGCACTGGTTTATTAACGAACTAAACTATTTATTTTAATAACTTAACTACACTTAAAACACTATAAAACTAACTAAACACTTAACTACTAATTATTTATATCACTACTAGTTTATTTGCACTTATATTTATTTATTTCTTCGCGCGTACCAAAGCTTAACTAATTGATCTGTGTTGCTCCGTTTCTTATATATCCAGCGCCCAAGTATTCTGGAACATTCCAGCGAGCTCCACACTCTCGATTATTCGAGCGCTGAGTCACCGGCGATGACTCACCGGCAATGACTAATCGGCGATGAGTCATCACTCCGATATCCAGGGCGGTACTCGCTACATTACTTTAGCTGGAGTAGCTCCAACGTTAGTTAAATTATCAAATTGATGTCATTTTTTCTTCTGATTAATTGAACGTTGGGTTTTCAAAATATTTACAAAAATAACATTTTTTTAAACAGAACACCCTATATATTTCTACATATTTTGGAACAAAAAATTATCAATGCATAACCACCCAACTAAAAAATAAATATTCTGATTGTGAAATAAATAAAGTAATACTTTTTTTATTTATTTATTGACCCAAAAGGATTACAAGAATTCATGTTTATTTTTAGGTGTAGGGTAGTTATGCAAAAATATCTTTTTGTTCCAAATTAAATTGTCTTTAAAAATTTGTGAAAATAAACAGGGTGTTCCATTAAACTTTTTTTTAAATATTTTGGAAACCAAGTGTTCAATAGTTTTTTGATGTCACAATTTTAATCAGAAGAAAAAATGCCATTAATTTGCCAAATGTTGTCCTTTTATTTTAAAAGATAAGTGTACATTTAAACTACTTCAAAGGAAAACAAAACTATTAGGTAGTATCTTAACATACATCTGAAATATATTTCTAACCATTTTTTAATTAGGTATGTTCGCCCAAAGAAGTGATGAACGAATACCAGAGCAGACCACAAAAACTTGTTGCAAAATATATAAAAAGACAGTTGCAAATGAAAGGGAAAATCTCACTTGACGGACATGGACCTGTTGGAATCAAGAGCCCTAGAAGATTTAAGTTGGTTCAACAGGAATCTCAAACATTCGAATAAGAACTTTGTCGTTTTAAAAATTCTGGTTTAAGCTTTTTATTTATTATTTTTAACTTATTATTATAATTTAAAAATGTTACCTACACATTTTTGTTATAAAATTTATTATTGCACAACTTATTACAATAATAATTACAATAAACAATAAATGTTATAGTGAATATTTTTTCTATAAAAAATATTTGCATAAGTAGTTAAAAGTTTGTTCACCGTATATTTTTATAGCGATTACGGTTAAAATTTTGCCTTATTTTGTCAAATATATTATAAATAAGTAAAATTCAGATATATGTATATCACACATACCAGTATGTGTGATCAATATATGAATTTCACAATTGTAAAGATAGACACTATCTACTTACATGCATATGTTATGAAGTAAAATATTTTTTTAAATATGCAAAATTACAAATACATACATTCTAAATCGAGGCGTGTACAGGTTAAATAACATTTTAAATAACGTAAAAAGTCTTTATAGATAAATATAATTTATTTAGGAAGGCATGCACTGGTTTGGTTGTAAATATTATGCACAATAAAATTTTGCAAAAATATGTCATCATACATATCAAAATAAGACTCATTTGATAAACTACTTCTTAACAATATGACCATATAAAATTATTAATAAATTGTTGACAAAAATTGAATATCCTATCAAAAATTAACAATTAGTTGTCAATTTATAAACAATTGACCATAGTTTAACAATAAGGTAAACTGATTTGTTATTCAGTTTTTATTCAAATTTTCTTAACTGGCATCGCTTTTGCAAAATATATGCTTAACTATTTCAAAAATATTGTTAACCATTTAATATTAAGCATGTTTAAATGTTGTAACGTTTGTAGCCGTGTTACTGGACAATACATTTGTTAACTTTTACATATTTAAACAATGTAGCCATTGACAACGATCGTAATCATGTGATTAAACTTTTGCCTAATATTTTAGTCACACTATTGTTATATTTGCTCACGTTTCATTAAATCGTTGCGGACTTTAATATTATTATGTAAAATGTGAATGAGGTTAAATTAGTTTAAAGCATCAGAATTTAAGTTAATGATGGCAGGTGCAACAGAAATGTATCCTAATAGTATTGATTGTGAATACAAAAGTACATGACTGTTAAACAGCTTAAATCGCTGAATAGTTGCTTGTTGATAAAAAATTTTAACAAAATAATTACCTGAAATATACTAAGAAAACCTATTGTATGTAAAGTAAATGGAAAAAAGCATGATATAACTGCCTTTAACTTAGTCGAGTGTGCCTGGTTCTGCATATACACCAGTGACAGATCAACAGAGATTTAATTTTTTTTTCGCTAAGCGTACAATTAAAAACATTCATTAAAAAACTTTTTTTATATAAAATTCACATCTACCATTGAGCATTTACCGTAGAAAATAATATATCAATGAATATTGTTAAACATGGGTGTCTAGTCTATTAATATATGTGCTATTAAATCAATAAATACCAGTTGAAAAATATTTTTTTTTCTCTAAACCCTTTTCAATGAAATATTTTTAGAACATAATTTTGTTGGCAATATTTTCTTATTACACTTTGAACTAGTGATGGGTCGTGATTTTGATAACGTGATTTTGGAACGTTATTTTTAAATCACGTTCCGGAACGTTCCTAAATACAGGGATGGTAATGAGCTTTTAGACCGTTTAATAAACAAAGATGCATGCTATATGAAACGTACGAATAAGTGAGATAAACGTATAAATAAGAGAGACAAACAACCATTGTTGAACGAATAGAATAACAAAATACCACAGACCTAGGTCTGTGCAAAATACTTATTTCCCCTCTGCCATAAGCGTGCAGTACAAGATTTTAAAACGATTAAATCAAAACAATTAAACGTCCGCCAATGTTTTACTTCCCCTCCTCTAACTGCTTTACAATCCCACCAAGATACATACACCTTAAGATAGGATGGTGCGCATGTTGGGCGGGGCTTAAATATGCCACTTGATGAGTGTTTTTAAATCTTTAACGTGCTTTTTAATTATCTGCTGCTAAAATTCTTGTTTTTGCGATGCTGTTGGATGTTAACTTGCTCTATTTTTTGTTTAACTTGTTGTTTTTGCTTTCGGTAAGGTTCGAATTTATTTTCAGTGTTCAAATTATTGTTATTGCGTTGTGTTAACCTGTTCTTTTTGTTTATTATTGTTTTTGTGTTGCGTTAACTTGTTTTGTTTGTGTTTTAGTTTGTGTCGTACCATTTGCATTTATTAAAATGCGGTGTGGCATATTTGGATGCAATTCAGACAACCAGTCCAAGAAAAACCCTTTAAATAAAAACATTAAATTTAATCGATTCCCGAAAAACTTTGATTTGTGGAAACAAAAAGAATAGGCAATTTAAAACACCTAAATGTTATCAAGGACTAAAAGCATCTATTATCCATATTATAAAACTTTCTTCAATATTAAGTTTAATAAAAACGCACTATGTCCAGATATTTCTTTATTTTCTTTGATAATATTACTAATATTCGTGTATTCGCACGGCATGCGCGGCATGAACCAAAACTCGTACACGGGAGCATCCAGCCCTGGCGCGGCGCGGTCTGGCCTGCCCCACCACTATTACGTCACTCCACCACTCCCACGTCTCATAATGCATTTGTCTTTATTTATTAAACGGCCTAAGAGCACATTACCATCCCTGTATATCGGAACGATGTGACAGCGGATCGAACTGAATAGAAACAGAGAATCCGACCATCGAATGAGTGAACGGAGCCAGTGGGAAGGAAACGACCTGAAACATGGAACAGAACGAACGTCGCTAACGTCGGAACTGTTTAAAGGCGCAGTTACCTTGTTTCGTTTCTTGTTCGGCGCGCCGACTTGAGCTGAACTTTATCGGTGCATATCAGTGGCGGCTCGAGCGTTCCGCGCTGGGGTACAGTGTTGCCAAGTCGGTGCATATTGCACTAGATCTGGTGGATTGAACCTCCATCTAGTGCCCGGAATTCGATTTTGGTGCGCTAGTGCAAAATCTAGTGCATCATCGATCATTAACCAAATTTGGTAAATAACAATGAAAAGGCGTTTATACAATGGTTTTATTTTCATAATTTTTCAATCATACAACTCAGCCACCCCAGCAAACACATAAGTCTGGTAATGTAATGGCCCATTACAGCGTTTAATGGTTAAATAATGGCATTTTTAACCCAAGCTGTTCTTGTACTGGGCCTCTACAGGAATTTTTCGTTAATAAATGTCAATTTAGACCAAAGGCTGTCGTGGTAAGGTCTTGCAATGGCCCTTTTCAGGCAATGATATGTATAATTTAAGATTAAAGGCCCACATATGGCAATTATAAGTATCAAGTTAATGGAACTGTAACACACCATTACAGTGCCAAATGTTTTCCTTTGCTTTACACCATATTTACTAATGAATTGCCTCATGTTAGTGGTATTATGCATATGCATATAGAAAAATAATATAGGTTTTGAGATATATTAATTAATTATCTAATAGGTGTATTTTATAATTAATTATTAATGAACTAAACAACTAGGTAGTACCTTTTTCAAGTAAGTATTTTTACTGTACAATTTTTACATTAATGTCGTACTATTTAATAACCTAGCTATTTCATGTGACCTATTTTAAAATTTTAAATCTTCTTTTAGCGCAACATATGTTTTGAATATTTAACCCTATTTAATTATCTCTATTCAAAACGAAGCTTTTTTCTAGAAAAACTTGCAAATTAGAATCCCATTATAAGACCATTCCTAGTAGGAATTTCCTACAGTGCACTGCAGTCGTCAATGATTTAATTGCTAATTAGCAATATAATAGAGATCTCTTATGCATGTGATTTAGCCATATATATCCATTGTGCTAAAGACTGGACTAGAGACTGGATTTATCTACTTAATTTGTTTTGGTGTTCAATTTAATTCATTCGATTCCTTAGAAATGGAAACTGTTGAAATTTGATTTTATTTTATAATACCTATTTGTTAAGTTTTTTTTTTATTTAAATAGGTATGTTATGTTATAATTATGTTTAAATTACATGTATTTTATAACACATTAAACACTTTGTATTTTTTAATTTTTTGAAAGTTTTAGGGGCATTAATGGAATTACATAATAACGAAATTTTTGTAATATAGTAAAGTACCTATCTATTATGGTGGATTAAATTTGGTAGGTATATATTTATTAGGTCGGATATTACACGATAATCGGGAATTTTTATCCCTACCGTCAAAAATCGGTCGGGATAAAATATTTTAATTATCATGGAATATCCGTACCTAGTAAATATATAGGTACCACATTTAATCCGACATAATAGGTACTTTACTTATCCATTAAATAATATTTAACTAACCACTATAGAATCTTTAACACCCCATATAAGAACCTTTAGCTCGCCACATTTGTACCTTTAACCTGCCATATCGGAACCTTTACCGGTTCTTGTAAGTGTCTTTATCGACTGCCGTCACATGCCCATAAAAGGTGAACGCGACATAATGTAGAGGTCCATTAAAGTCAGCCTTTATAGGGCCTTTAGTTTATTAAAGGCACGCGTTTAAAGGGCCATTACAGAACCTTTACGGTTGTGTTTGCTGGGACAGCCCACATTTCCTTCAGAAAATCTGAATACGCCCCTGTCCAACAGTCCACCATGCTATGATGCTGACGGCCGTTATATTGGTAGCATACCTGTGATGGTAGTACCCCTAAACTTGGTTTAGGGTAGTATCACAGATTATAAATGTAGTACTGCGCTGCCGCTGCTCTGCGATTGGCTTGATTGTTGAATTCTTTCACAGAACCTCTGTTTCGATGTATTATTTTTCTATGTTTGTTTCGAGGGGTCACCCACACCTGGGAATCCCTGGACATTTTAGAGGGGGAATACCATAGGAATACAATGGAAATACATAGGAATACAATAATATATAATGGGAATACATGGGAATCCCTGGACGTTTTCCCTTTGGGTGGTTGACCCCTCGGTTTGTTTCAAAAAACAAAAGAATTCTAGTATGGTATATTCTTATTCTGTGGAATAGTATATTCTTTTCTATGGTATGGTCTAGTTCTATATAGTGATTAATAATTATCAGCGCTTTATTGTGTTTATACATTTAGATGCCGGAACCAGCAACAATGTCGAGCAGTGTGGCTAAAGGACCCTGCCCTAAAGCAATGGCTTACCAGTGTGGAAATGCCTATGCTTAAAATAAAGTTTAATTTTGAAATTATTTCATAGTTGCTCATTCATACATTGTGTTCATCTAGAGTGAAATTCAGACTACTGCATAGATTACTGATCGGGTGGACTTACACCAAAGTGAATTTGGTGCTTTTCTAGTGCATTTTTTATTGCTATATAGTGCATAGCTACTTCAAGCAGTTGGCAACACTGCTGGGGTAGGCGACGGCCAACAAAACAAACTCTGTTTCACGGTCTTATATACAGGTCTTGCAACTTTAAGCTTCGAGGTGGCTTCCTTAACGTGCCAAGCCGCTAGGTGGCGCTAAGATCGAAGGGGTAAAGTCAATTAAACTACTACTTAGTTAAATGTGGAACTACTGCATAACCATAACCTAACTTTTTAAATTCTTTTTCTATGTTTTGTTTACATTTTCAAAAATTTAATATTTGTGAGTTTGTTTCGGATAATTTACGTTAACAAAATAGGACAACAAAGTCTATACTCTATGCACAAAGTCCTCGGCCGTCACATGCCCAGACCAAACATGTTAATGTATAAAATACAATGTATATGTAACATATATATGATACCTATACGTATGTATTTAATACATACGTATAGGTATCATATATATGTTACGGCTAATGTGTAAACATGGATAGTTTATTAAGTAGCTGGGTAGTTTATAAACTAGCCAAACTGTCAGCTATTTTAATTGAAAACGTATTTTTAACCACAATCCACACAACACAATGTGTGGATTGTGTTTTTAACTAAATTAGCGGCTAGTTTGTAAACCAACCAAGGGTCTTGGTTAATTTACTTGAAATTATTTAGGAATAGCTGGATAATTTGTAAACTATCCAATTCAATTTGGCTAATATGAAAACCAAAATTTCTAGTAACACAACAAACTAACCAACCAATATTCTGGCTAATTTATTAATAACCGATTTTTTTATTGTCTTGGCGGGGATGGGTTGATTGTTTATTTAAAATAATATATATTTCACCCACACGATGTGCTTAATTATAAAATAATCATACAAAATGTGAAGGTGTCAATAATATGTTTTTTATTGCACATTGCCATGTTTTTAACCGCTCCTTATTTGTTAGCACTTTTAGCTTAATTTTAATGCCGGATAGCTTTGCTGGTTACATTTTGGCACAACACAGGACTTCATGTCTATTAAAAAGCACAAATACAAATGTATAACAAGAACAAATATAACAAGAACAAATATAACAAGAAAAAATAGAACAATATAATA